CCAGTGTGCTCTGAAATTACCCTCAATTACAGCTGCCAGACTGAGGACCCTTCAAGGCCATGCCTCAGCTGGTAATCAGGCTATGAGGAAGGAATGGTAGGGATGTAGCAATGAGTGGTGCAGCGCACGGTACCTCCTGTAAATAGTAGTGTAATTCAGCATGCTTTTAGCAAAAATTGCAACCAACAAGCTGTGCCAGGGCAGGATGCTGAAGCACTAGAAGTTGTCACAAGGTTTCAGTCTAAATGTGTGGTTGTGGGTTATATGCAGGTAAATAAGCACTGGAGTGCTGCCAAAAGCATATTCAGAAAAGGGAAAGTAGCTGCTAGATTTGCACTTCAGCCAAAAGAAGACTGACATACAAATGCAAAAGTGCATTGACAAGCCCTGCCTGTTCCGAAAGCACAAAACCAAAGATGTTAAAGAGAGTAACTTCCATCTTTCTGTTTCTGAGCAGAGATTTTCTAAAAGGAAAGATTTGTGAAAAAATGCCCACCTCTGGGGTTTCCTTTATTGATTTATTGATCTTTAATGAGGCTGCCTTTCAATGTTCTCTTAGCCAGCCTTTATTGTCCCACATTATCTCATTGCTGCTCTGTGATTTTATTTAGCTGCTCCAGTAAATTTATTTCATCTATAAACTACCCTCAGCACTCACTACATTTGCCTAGCAACTCTCTTGATTTTAATATTATCAAATTAAATATGTCTAATAAAACCAGCATTCTCAAATGATTTTTTGTTCCTCTTCTGCTGCCACAAATCCTTGACAGCTTGGAAGACTCAAAGCTTTATCTTCTACCTCAATACAACTCCACAGGGGAATTGCTTCTGTGAAGTATTGAAAAGCTGGTACAGACTACACCACCCGAATTTGACCTCTCCTCAGACACTTTTCTGTGTTTAGTATTAGTTTATGCATGGCAATGTGACAACTATCAACTAGCATCTGAAATTAAGCACCACAGAGCAAATGTTCTTGGCAAAGGCATCACAAACAGGACCACATAGAGCCGAGTACCTGCTGCTGTACTTTTAGCAAGATACTCCAGATGACTTTAGATTTGCAACCCAACACTTGCTAAGTTGGTGCCACATTTGAACTTTGCAGCACCCATAACTGGCTTCATAACTCACCTGGTACAGTCCTATGAAGCAAAAGAAGTGCATCATCTACTCACGTGCTGTTGTCAAACTCTCACTAAATGCTGTGGTGCTGGCATAGGTTTTTGTTTCTGCTGTAGAAATCAGTGCTCCTTCTGAAAACACACAAGCTTGTAAACATTACTGTAGAGGACCTTATCACTTGTTTTTCACTTTTCCCTCTTTCTTCCCTGTTTCCTGACTAATGAGGTCGAATGATTGTAACCTACTACTTGATATATTGGCTTCCCTGAGACAAGCACCACACAACTCTGTCTGGTTTGAAAGTCTAGCACAAGCTAGAAACTCAAGAGGAGTTTGACGAGATGGATAAATAACCTTTGAGAAAACATATGGGGCATTTAAGCATGCATTTTAGGATTTCAGCTAAGTTTCAGCTGAAACTCAGTAGTTCCAAGTGCAGTGGCTTGTTTCAACCTGAAGCCAGTAGAGTGATGAACAAACATAAGTGAATCAGAATTTAGACAGGGTTTCACCACTTCCAGTGAGCCAAAACTGTTTTCCCAACTAGCAGAGAGAAGTTTTGGAGAAGTTTTGAAGAAGTTAGTATGTAGGAGCACACCTGCAGTACCTGGTGCCAAATGACAATTTATTTAATATATTCCATTAATCTTTCTTTGAAGTGCTAAGTATTCTGGAGCTCAACTACCTATTTATCTGATATTCAAACACAGACAGATGGCGGTTAGCAAGTAGACCTCTATTTTCCCAAGAGGACTATTTCACACTTACTAAAAAGAGTCCACCTTTCTTAGCACCTGTCTCATTTTTGGAGAAGTATCATTAAGCCATCTGAACAAATCTGAGAAGGTGAAATGAAGCTGTAACCCAGCACTCAAAGCCTGAGCATTTCTGGGCTCAGAGATGGAGCTATCATGGAAGCTAAGCAAAGACTGGGCTGCAGTTTTAACAGCCTTGGTTTTGTCTCCCTTCCTCCTTCTCCTGCCTGTATCTGTGCACTTTTCCCTCATATCAATTCCGAGCTGTTTCTTGGATGTTCATTAAAAACTTGCAAAATAACAAGAACTGAACCAACCCCCTTTTTACAATGGCAGACTTAGAGTTGGCACCCCGACTCAGCTGCAGTCCAAACAGTCTGCTCAAGAAGCTGATGGTGGCACCAGTGTGGTAATCAGCAGCATGCCAGAGAGGAGAAGCATTAACCCATAGTCAGCACACCACAACTGCCACACGTCAGGGGCATTGGTTAAAAGGCAGTTGTTTCCTGGTCTATTTATAGAAGATAAATAGCTCGGCACCAACTCACACTATAACTTTGACCTCATGCCTTCTCAAGTAGTGAAGATATATAATTGAGTGAGGAGAATCCTCTCTGCTCATATTGCATATTTATAGCCTCTGTCATGAAACTGTTTGCAGAGACAGAAGGGCTTTCAGTCTACTTGGACAAGCACTTTGTTGCCAGGCTGGGCAAGTCGCTCTACTTTGGGGATGGGGAAGACAGCATGAGAATCAAGAAGCCTTAATTTCAGTGCCTCTGCAATCTGTGTTCCTGCTCTGGCATATCTCAATCTAGATCTAGCCTCTTCATGCTCCAGGGTTTTACAATGCATGATTCAGCTCCCAAACAGCACTCTGCTGGGGCAGGATGAAGCCTTGTGTTCAGCAGCTTCCTTTAATATTACCCCACGCATTGCCCCTCGCATTGCTCACTCATCCCTGGATAAATACTGCTATAGTGTCATGTAACGTAGGTTGCTTTTAATGAAGGTTGCAGGGTTGAATTATACAGCTTAAGGAGGATGTTCGATGCCCCATGGGCTAGTGAAAGTTAGTCTGTTTAGAGAACAAGGCTGCTGCAAATACCAAGGGCCAAATCCACTCCTGTCAGCTGCTGCCTCAGCAGTGAATCATTTCTGAGACGAAGCTTTGATGCTGCTAGGGAGAGGAAGATGGAGTTTAACAACAACTTGCCCAGTTGCATCTTCCTCATGCTGCCTGTGCAGCCATTTCACACATGCTGTTTTGCATCTAGAATGGGAACGTGTGCCATGCCTGCGTTCATTCAGACCATGTGGCAGTGAGCATGCACCTTGCTGCTGGTGATGGCAGCCCCAACACCCTTGTAACTGCTGCTTATAACCAGCCGGTCCTACAGGGATCAACAGCTGGGCTTCAAAATGGAAAGAGACTTTAAAGAAAAAAGTGTTCACAGACAGGGTGTGCTGCAGTCAGTGAGCTGGGATCGGTGGGCATCAACCCTTTATCAGAAGGCAGGAGGTTTGCAGCTTCACCTGCTCTTTACTCAGGCTGCTGCCATACTGTTGAGCATGTGCCAGCTGCTGGTGCACGCACCTCTCTGTGCCAGCCCAGAGAAGAAATTGATTCATTTGCTGTAAACATTTTATTTATTGGTGCTTTTTGTTTGTATTCCTGGGCTCCAATATTTGGGTTGTACTTTTTCTAGCTCTAATGTCATTTTATGTTTGTAGGTATTAAAGAGACACAAATAAGGAGTATTTTGAAAATATATACCCAATGTCTGTTCAGTTTGCTGAAATTACTGCATATATCCTGAATAGAGCATTAAAAAAGATAAAATCAGACAGCATTTTCTCATTTTTGAACTGTGGACTTCCTAGTGTACGATGTACTAAAAAAACCAGACTTCAGTGGACATTATATTCTTTCCTACAAAAAATGCAAGGTGGTTATTGTGTTTATGTATCTTTCTCCTGCATTCTTGAAGCAATAGAGAAAACATTTTGGCTGAGTTGATCACCTTGTGTCATGGAAGCAGGAGGCAAGCTTGCTTGACTTCTGAAATCCAGAGAGGCCAAAGATGTCAGCTGGTGCTCTAAAGACAACAGATCACATTTAATCAATAGGGCATTTAAAAAATGTTATTAATAAATCATAAAGCAACCAGGATCAAAGAGCTTGCAGTAGCTGTTGGGTAAGTGCAGACTGCAGCCGGAATCCTGCTGTTGGAGTTAAGGTTAAATGCTCAAAACATATCCCACAGATTCAAGGGGCACTCAGAGATTGCTGATGTTATTAATGCTGACCCTTTCACATGGGCTAGCTGTGTGCATTGTTTATTTATGTTTTTACACACAGGGTTCAGTTTAAGTGCTGTGGGGTGGATTAAGCACTTGATGGTGGTGTTCCCCTGCCTGGCCAGGGCCTTGCCAGAAACGTTCCTGACAACACTCGGCAGATCACCTGCTCTTGCAAGTTCTCCTCTCAGTTGCTGAAGACAGTTCTATATAGTTATCCACATGCATGCTCTGGTAAAGCAGTGTTATTTATATCATTAATGAATGGGAATAATGTGCTCTTATTGGGTCAAGGAAAAGTGGTGGGTTTAACTTTTCTTCCACATGCACCTCTGTCATAAAGGGACACATTTATTCATAGTTGCATAGGGGGGTTTATTCCATTTTATAAAAAGACATAAGAGTAATACGTGATATTCAGCATGCCATCTTGCATGCTGTCCTGACATGACAGTTTTAGCAGGATTTGTGTCAGATCACTTCTTGGTTAACATCATAGCTCACAAATTCCTGTCCAGCAGCACATAGGCACTGTCACTACCAGAGCACACTGACCTTTCCCTGGCTCTGTGTACCTGACATTTAAGCAATGGTCAAGCAGAGATCCTGCACATATCGACTGAGTAATAAAGAAGGCTTTTTTTTTTAACCCTTACCTGAAGTGGACATAACAGCTGATGGAAGTGCTGAATTTCGGAGGTCTGTAACAAACCAAGGCAAACGCTTTTACTCAGGGTGAGAAAGGTGCTTATTCTGCTTTAAAGAAGTGGGTGATTCAAAGATTCAAGAGTGAAAGTGCATCACACTTAATTTTCAAATAACCTTTCAATGTACAACTCAGCCAAGTGGTCCAGTGAGAAACAAGAACTATCTGAACTAACTGTGCATGAAATTCCTAGGGAAACAAAGGTTTTGGGAGAAGAAGTTTTGGAGCCCTTGGGACCTCAACTCAAAAAGTAGAAGTGAGTTACATGGTTTTATCCCATACAAACAGATGCACCTTATTAGCATGCATGTTGAAACAACATATATGGCAGGTGCTGACACCTCCATAGCTCCATCCATGAGGCGTTTCAGAGACTGTAACTGTGACAGGAAATTTCAAGCACAGTTTGCACTGAAAAGTGCTCACTGAGTCCTCAAAGAAAATGAGAGAGAGCTAATCCTTGAAATTAAAGGACTGCTAATAGGCTAGCCCACCACAGCAGAGGTGCTATCCTGCCCAAGCAACATTTAATCCTGGGTGAGAGAAGTCTCAGGCATTTTTTTCCCCAGAAAGTGGGCAGAGTACCCCCTGAGAGGGTTAGGAAGAAGGATTAAATCTCCCCAAACAGCTCCCTGAAGGAGGTGATCCATGAAAGCTCATACAGCCTATTAGGAAAACGTACCTGGAAGGCAGCCAGAAAGTACCTCTGTCTGGTCAGGGATGCTGGGAGGGCACTGGGCAGGGACTGACCCTCTGCAGCATAAGGAGATAACTATCAACTCTCCAGCTGCTTCCCTTTGCGAGCATTTGTACCTCCTTTGACTGTTCTGAGTGCTGCTCTTCCATTCTCATTTCATTTTAGCCTCACCTGTGCTAACAGGGTTTTCATAGTATCTGGCTGACATAGAAAGATTCCTTACCAAAGATGCAGTAGGTCTAAAACCCAGGGTTGTGGGACACCTCAAGGTATGCCCAGCTCTCAGTATGCTTCTGAGGAGCGTGCAATTTAAAGCTGCAAGGGCTGCTTTGAGAGATCACCTTGCAGAGGCCAGCAGAGGACAAAGTCTCTCTCAGGGACCCCCAGTACCTGTGATGGCTTTCTGGTACCCAGCAGGGTATTGGCCGAACCCTCAGAGCCTGCCACACGCAATCTGCACTTGCAGAAACAAGCTTACATAGAAACCCACACTTCTTGCCATGCTGCTTGTCTGCAGTGTTTCTCTGACACACCTCATGTAACCCACTGCTGAAATCCAGCTGCCTCCTATGTGGAGCAGAGTGAGCCGCTCCAGGAAAGGCATCTCCAAACGGCTTCAGCTGAGGTGTGGAGGGAACGATTTATCTCTCTGCAATAAGCTGATAACAAGACAAACTTGCAGGGGCAGACCGTGGATTTGCCAAATTTACACAAATTGAGAAACATCCCATCAGTTCCTTAATTAGGAAAAAATGTTGAGATCTTGGCTGTGTACTTAAGCAGAAGGTAGAACCATTAGCAGGGCTGTTATTTTTAATTATTGGTTCAGTGCTGAAAGAGCTATATTCAAATGCCAGCTAACGCATCAGAAATAACATTAAGCGCCCCTCAAGGCTGGAGTTTAATTATGCTTGAGCTTAATTATGATAGATGACGTCACCAAAATACCTGTTTATTGTATTTGCTCTGGAATCATAGTTGCAGAGAGGAGTACATTACTACCCATCCAGAAAAAAGTTTGCAAAGCTATTTCTCTAACAGCTGCAGGAATTCAGAGACACCTCTAAAACAACCCAAGTTATTTTGTTCTCTAATTTATCCTACCTTCTGAAGCTATGGTGGTAAAAGCTTCGAATGAGGCTTCATTAGGCTTATTGTCTGTGAAGAAACAAAAAGAAAAAAGAAAGATGAAAGCAGTTCTTTAAAGTATCTTGGGTTTTGTCATAAAGGCTGAAAATTTAGTTTGGGGGTTGTGTCATATTGTGCATTAGGATGGCACCTTCCTAGAACATAGTGAGAATTAATGTAATTCTTTCCTTTCTGTCACATCTAAGTACATTAACATTTTTATACAGAGTGCATCTATCTTAGCGTTAGCATAGTCTGCAGGCAAGAACGTAGACTGTTTTAATTGACAGCTCTCCAATTTGAATATATTTCTACAAAACAGTAAAATGGGTGAAATGAGTCATTTTGGAGAAAAATGATCATTTATCTCCTTTCCCTCCAAAGCTCTATTTCCAGAGGAGTGAGCTCTGGCTTTTGATGCAGTCTCTGTGGAAATATATAGCAATGAGCATATCCGCAGCCACAAGTGAACACAGCTGAGCTCCAAGCAATCACCACAGTACGTGATGTACCCATGGAGGCTGCTTAAGGGGTCAGCAGTTCAATTGTATTATCTGTGCAGCAAGGAGCATACATAGTAAAAAAGAAAAAGGTGTAAGTATTTTTTTCAGCATTTGCTGAAAAAATAAAGCTTCAGCATTTGCACCTGAAGAGGAGGCATATAAAAGAGGGTGCTAAAGGAAATCAGTCTGGCCTTCTCACTGGCCACCCTGCATCCTCAGAAATGCCATAAACTTCTGCACGGCTGGAACACTGTCTCACTATCTCAAAATTCTTGAGACAATATTTTCCACACTTCCCTATTCATGTAGCTAATTCTTATAATACATGTTATAAGGGAGTTTCTCCGTTGTCCAAAATGGTTTAACTGGTTTTGGTTCAACTATTTTCAGGTTTCACTCAAGATGTACAACATAGCTCTGACTGAGGGCTTGAGACTCCAGAGAGCTACACTGCACACATGCAGGTTTTCTGCAACGAGTGCTCAGTGAGAAACACATGATTATAATATCTCACTAGTGCCATGTGGTTAAGCTAGTATATTTTGGGGTATGGGAAGTGCAGTAAGATACAAACAGCAAGCATCTTATGTTCGTGCAGGAGTTTTTAGCTCATTAAAAGGCTTGAGAAAAGGCTAGAGCAAAGTCTTGAGCTAAAAAACCTGTCAGAAAGTTCAAGCTGTGTGATGAGCTTGCACAATAGAAGTTCCAGAGTCTTGGCATTTCTTCAGTATTTTAAATAACAGAGAATACATATGTTTGGTGTTCTTAACGTTTTACATTTCAGATGTGTCCTATCTATGAAAAACCTACCGAAGGAAACAAATATTTCTTTTGATGAAATATTCCATGTTTCATTCCCAAGGAAGGAAAACAGACATGCACACAAGAACATCTTAGATGTCTGGTGGGTCCCTTGAAACACCAGCGTTGATGTCAGCTGATAGAAACCTTCACTGTCCTGCGAGTCTTCTTGTTCAACAGAAATTCCTTGGGGAAAGAAAAGAAAGAAAAGGAAAAGCTGCAAAAGCCTCTAATTACACTCCAAACTATAAATCGGAGCTGTGCAAAATATTGGTACTGAAAAGCAAGCTCATATGGCTGCAGGTTTCTTTGCTGAGACGCTGTTAAAGATTTGGCAAGAACGGTATGGTTATGCCAAGCCATCATTGCCATGACTGGCAATTCCAGGGGGAGGTGGCCACAGCTGTTCCTTTTGAGGAGGCCTGATACTCTTCTCTTAACCCGGATAGACACCTACAGGTTCCCCATGGCAGGAGCAGGTGAACATCCATCAGTTTTCTTGGGAATCTCTTCTACAGCTGCCCCATTGTCCTACTGACAGGTTTCGTTACCTCCAGGCTGCTCCTTCAAGCTCTCTCTGTCCATGTACCACACGAGGCTTGGCTTGGGAAATGCCTTCCTCACGATGCAGCTCACGTTAGGCTATGGAGCAGTAAAAGCCAGTTGTTAGCCTCAGTCACTTCTCACCTGGCTGCCAGCTTCCAAACTCCCTCACAGACAGAGCTTATTTACCCACCATCCCACTCAGGAAAGAAGCACTTGCTTCCTCTTTATTTATTTATGTTCTACTTCTCTCTCTCCCTCCCACCCCCTGCTTGCAGGCACCAGGTGTCTGGTTGCAGACACCGCTGAATGAGAGTCCAGGGACAACCCCATCACCTTGGGCCAGGTTCTGGGTGATGGGGCTTCCAACACCCTCCAGTCCTGTGCTCTGGCTGGAGAGATGTAGGGTAACCCCCCACCCTCCTGTTCCTCGGTCAGCATCTCAGTGACAAATACCCACAAGGAGAAACACAGGAAGCCAGCAGAAGTCAATCATTCAATATGAAGAATGGAATTACCTGGCTGGAACTCTTTCCTTTCCATGGTAAATAACCTCTGAATGTGTAATGCAATTGCTTTCCCCCCTTACTTTCTTTATTCCCTTATTTTTCAGGCACTTTACATTCATAATATTTTTATGAATGCTTCCTATGAAGAAATACAAATCTGACATCCACAGTAGACTTAAGCTCTGCAAGAAAGAGTGGAAAAGAGAAGGAAAGGAGTTGGTGTGTGTTTGGAGGTGAAGAATGGACAGAGGCTCTTGGAAGAGTTTCCTTTGCCTGGTCCTATGATAGCAGCACCACTTGCTCGCAAGACACGGCAGTGCAGACAAAAGCCTGCAATGACCAACACTACACCTGGAAATAGGTTACCACAAAAATTTTGCGTAACCAGCTGCCTCATGGCTTGTCTGAAGCAGGTGGCTATGGCTGATAAAGGGTTCTGCCTACCCACAAGCATTTTCCAAGGAAAAATTTCCAAATTAATTGGAATCCTCACATATCAAAAGCTTTAACCTGGATGGATGCAACAGGAAGCAAAGTGCTATACCTAGTAGCCGGAGTGGCTTGCTAGTGAATCATATGGGCCACAAATACATTTTATGCCAAGTATGTCTGATGCAGTACAGCAGACCTTCAGGTTTTGCCATTACCAAGCATGTGGTAAAACAGAGACCTCAAACCACATGTGTAACTGCTTAGCTCTAAATAGGGGCCCTCAGATTCAGTCATTCCATTGGCATCTGCTTGCTCCAGCTGTGTTCTGCTTGCAGCACAACACATTACGCCTGACATGATCATCACCTTTATTTACACACGAGCACCACTCCCACAGCACCTGCTTGTCCCTGTCCTAGCAGGGCTGTGTGGCAGATGGGGGCTGCCACTTCCTGGACACTTGGAGCAGTGTGCGAGGTAGAGGGTAACCTTCTTCAGAGATGGATTTTAAGCAGTGTGGAGAGGGCAGCTCGAGGCTGCCAGGTGGTTGCTGGCAGATGGGAAGGGAAAAGGAGCATCACGTCCTCCTGCAATATCATCACAGCCTCTCTCACAGCCTCTCCTGTCCTGGAGCCTTCACAAGTAACACAAACCCAGATTTTGCCCACGCACCAGGGAAGCCCATAGCTAGCTCCAGTTTGTCCTCACTGAAACAGCTCACTGCTGTGGGGATGGGAATCACTCAGAAGAAAGGGCATGGATGGCTGATGTTAACTCATTGACTCGCTCATCGCCTTGTGAGCTTGGTCTGTTTGGAGGTGCCTGGTTCATCTTAGCTTGCCTGGCCCTGCAGGGGTGGCACAGTGATGATCACAGGCATTACTCTTTCCTCCAAAATCACTCACCTTCACTGAAGTGCCAGCTGTGCCCTCCTGCAGGACAACAGAGATCTCGGGGTAGGCTGGAAAGCAAACAAAGTTTTATTAGTAAATTGGGTAACACAGGTCACAGTAACAGCTTCTAATAAGGCTTAACAGCCTTGTTTCATAAAAAGAGTGGAAATTAAATCCTACATCCACCCACACATCTAGCGAGATAAAAGCTTGCACAGCTCCGATTTGAGGTTGAGGAAGTGGTTTACAAGCACATAACAGCAGCTACTACCACAAGATCTATGATGTATTTCTCTGCCTACCTAAACTATTCTTGGGTGGCTTTGCTGGAGAAACGAGCTGAAACCATCCTGCAGTCGTGGCTTTAGCAGCAGAGCCACCCTTCAAGGGCCTGCTGAAATAAAACACTTGCCGGTTGTTGGTTCCTCTGGGTGTTTGACAAAGTCATCTGTGAAGGCTTTAGCCATCCCCAAAAATATTGATTGATATATCAGTGGCTATCCACATGCCATTGCCTGGGCAGACATGTGGCAGTGTCAGACTACAGCTGCTGCCTGCCTTGCTGGGAAGCCCAGAGCTCACCTTCACATCAGAGCAGCAGGTCTCTGATGACCACATCCACTACAAATGGAAAAGGTGTTCTCTCTTGTTTTCACAGCATTTTGGTTCTAGGCACAGCTGACTGTCCAGATAAAAGTCGTCAGGTACAGTAAGCCTCTCTAAGTTGGCATTTCTAAATTAGCCATTGCAGTCAGTGGTTTGCAGTGATATTAACTGACTTGTTAAGTAAGAACTGTTGAAACTGTGTTAATATATAGTAAATCTCAAAAGTCTTGGATAAATTGCACTTCTGTTCCTTTCTGAGCCTTAAAACTGGATTTGAAACAAGTGCAGGTCCTGAATTACTTAGGAGATCCAGGCTACATCTCACTTTAATCTTTACCATTAAGATAATTTATTTCCCCTCTTTTATTTCTTCCTAACCCTGAAGTTACCTGTTTTAATTCTCCCTCCTACACCCTTCTGGTTTGTTTTTGGTTGGTTGGTTGGTTTATTTTGGTGGTTTCTTCCTATCAGAAAATTATTGTTTTTAAATTATATCCTTGTTTCTGCCTTGCCAAAACTGTACAGATGGTAGTGGGCCTGGTAAAAGACAACCATACTTTTTCAGCTATAAGAAAAGTCTGGTACATGGGATCTTCTAGTCTCAGCTAAAAGTTGGCTGAGAGACTAAATAGAATCTAGTCTAGTGCCTACATTTCCTTCTGTTTTTTTGATGAGAACGGGCATCACTGAATCATAGAATACTAGGTTGGAAGCGACCTCAACGATCATCTGGTCTAACCTTTTTAGGCAAAACATGACCTAGACTAGATGTCCCAGCACCCTGTCCAGCTGAATCTTAAAAGTATCCCAACACAGGGTACTCCATCACTTCCCTGGGGAGATTACTGCAATGGCTGATTGTTCTTGCTGTGAAGAATATTCCTCTTGTGTCCAGTCAAAATCTCCTGATGAGTACAGAGGAACTTTACGTTAGATATAGGAAAGAAGTTCTTCACAGTGAGGTTGGTGAGGCACTGGAATGGGTTGCCCAAGGAAGTTGTGAATGCTCCAACCCTGGAGGTGTTCAAGGCCAGGCTGGACAGAGCCTTGGGTGACATAGTTTAGTGTGTGGTGTCCCTGCTCATGGCAGGGGGGTTGGAACTAGATGATCTTAAGGTCCTTTCCAACCCTAACTATTCTCTGATTCTATGAACTTGTGCCCATTACCCCTTGTCTTTTCCATGTGACTCCTTGTAAAAAGGGAGTCCCCATCTTTGCTGTAGCCACCATTTAAATACCAGAACATCGTGATAAGGTCTCTCCTGAGCCTTCTTTCCTCTAGGCTGAACAAGCTCAGGTCTCTCAGCCTTCCTTCACACACCAGGCTTCCCAGCCCTCTGATCACCTTTGTGCCCTTCTCTGGACCCTCTCCAGCCCATCCACATCTTTTCTGTATAGCCAGGACCAAAACTGAACACAGTATTCCAGGTGTTGCCTGACAAGCTCTGAGTGGTATGCTTTTCCACATCTGTACTAGATGCTGGCTGCCCTCTGCTTTCTTGGAAGACATTTGTTGGGTAACTGTTCTGGCAGGCAGCTCTCAAGCACAGCTCTGAATGATCTAATAGATCTTTTCCATTTAACATCTCAGCCCCTGTTAATAGTTTTACATTCATTTGTCTTGCTGGGATATTTACCAACGTTTTGGGTCTAGCAGAAATTCAATAGTTAGTGCCGCAGTTTCTGCTGCTGAGCTCTTACAAAAAGGAGAAATCAATATTTGGCAAAGTTAGATGTGAAAAGAGCATACATTTTCTCAAAAACTTATATTTAAAAGAACTCTGTTCTAGGAAAGAAATATTTTAAAGCATATCACTCCAGAAGTGCCCTCTTAAAAAAAGCTTTCCTGACTGAATGTCTGTTTTCACTCAACCTATCAAGTCTCTCAGCTTCATTGAGAGACTTGTTCATATCTTCCCTATCCTCTACTGCCCAGCTCTCAGACATACTCAGGTCACCTCAAGCATCTGTGGGGAAGCACCACTTCTGCTTCTCAGACTTAGGCTGTGTTTAACCCTGCAGCTTTTTGTCACAGCAATCCTGTACAAGGAGCTTTACCCAGGCCACAGACCTTCCCTCTCCTTCTCCTGCCTATTGCAGCACCATGGTGCAGTAGCTGCCTGCCCTCCCTGCCCTACTTTAATGCCACCCAGCCCATGTGGTTCAATTGCACAAGTGTTTGGGTGATGGGGTTGCTGGCTTGCTGAGATGGGAAAATCTCCCCAGGTTTCAGTCAGCCTTTGTTCTCTAGCTGCATCCTTACTAATGGCAAGGATGACAGATGTAACCAACGATAATGTGCTATTGACATTTTATATGCTTACTGTTGTGCTTAGGATTCTGCCTTGGCCATTTGAACCTCCACATAATCCTGCTCTTGGGATACCTGTGAGAGAGGCTGGGGGGCCCCCCCCCCCCCGCCCCCCCCCCCAGTCCAAGGCCAGCCAGCACTTACTGAGGGCATCATAGGCTGTTCACCACCAAGGGCCACAGGTGCTTTCTCCTGTTTGCCTTTCTCTGCTGTTGTACTGATATACGGATCTGAGTGCATGCATAGACAACCATACGTGACACAGTAATTCAGAGAACAAGCCACATAAAGCAACCTCTCAGAGTACCAGATACCAAGATAACAGCAAACCAAGGCAAAAGCATCAGTAGGGAGGGAGGGGAGGGAGAGTTCAAGTTTGCTAGTATTCTTGAACAGTTACCCAGGTAATACTGTATTTATTTGACAAATGCTGATTTTCAAAAGTAAGACCCATGTCTGAATCATACAAAAGCAAGAGGAAATTTCAGATCATCAACTTCTATTTCTCTTGCGTCAGTGACCAACAGCTCCCAGACACAGGTTTTGCTGGGATTTTTTTCTCTTGCTGCTCCCCATTGACTGTTGACATACCTACTCTTTAACACCCATTCAGTTTTGGGGCATTGGATATATTTTTCCCAGACTCACTGTCAAAAAGCAGAAAATACATTTTTTTTTTTAATGGGCAGCATTTTTCTGATTCAATTGTACCTCAGCAATTGTAGAGTAGTTCCTAAGAGACTAGAAAGGGATTAGAGCAAGAAACTAAGATGGAGAAATCTTCCATCATGAAATGCCAGCCCACACTTCTGTGGTACACGTGGTCTGGCATTCCTAAGCAGTTTGAGACCCCCAGGCAGGACCTCACTTTCAGAACCAGAGCCTTTGGCAGCAGTTGAATACCACGTGTCTTCAAGGATGTGGCACTGCAACAACAGTAGTTCCAAAACACTTTACCTGTTTACTAAATTTTGGCTATTATTTCCTAACACAGGCAGCATGGTTGTTTTGTCACTGGCGCATTGAGGTCTTGATGACCAAGGTGCTTACCTGTAACCTGCAAGGTGCCAACATAAGCTTATACATTGGGGTGAGATAGTGGCAGTGTGCGTGCCAGTGGTGTTGATATATATGCAATGGCTCTACTATTTTTCATGCCAGAAGTTGGAGGAATGGCCTCAAATTCTTCCTAAGAATCATGGGGTTATTTCTTAACATTTTAACTCATTGCAGCTGAAAAAAATTAATGCAAATATTTATACATAAAGAAATCCCAAACCAAACCACCCAGCATATTTCAGAAGCTACTGCTTTCAGAACCAGACAGGAGTGTTACCTTTCCAAGTGCAAGTAAATGAGCATCTGGCATAAGCCCCTATCCTGGATTCAGCTGTAACAGATATTTTTCTCCTTCTTAGTAGCTGGTGCAGTGCTGTGTTTCTTGACTTTCAGTCTGGGAACAACGCTGATAACACCGATGTTTTTAGTTGTTGCTCAGTAATGTTTACTCTGACCAAGGACTTTCTCAGTCTCATGCTTTGCCAGAGAGGAGGGGAAGCCAGGAGGAAGCAGAGACAGGACACCTGACCCAAACTGGCCAAAGGGGTATTCCATACCACAGCACGTCATGCCCAGTATAGAAACTGGGGGGAGTTACCCGGAAGGCCCAGATCGCTGCTCGGGTCGGGCTGGGTATCGGTCGGCGGGTGGTGAGCGGTTGTGTCCTCTCCCCTTGTTATTCCTCTTATCATTATTATTGGTAGCAGTAGTGGTTTGTATTATACCTTAGTTACTGAACTGCTCTTATCTCAACCCGTGGGAGTTACATTCTTCAGATTCTCCTCCCCATCCCTCTGGGAATGGGGGGAGGAAGAAGGGAGGGAACAAGCGAGTGGCTGCATGGTTCCAAGTTACCGGCTGGGCTTAAACCAAAACAGCTCCTTACCAAATACTCTCACGGTGGTGCTGCTCTTCTGGACTCTCTCCGGATGGGATACCACGTGGCAGGAAAACACCCTGCCATCATCCGTTATTTTGGTGGGGAAAATCTTCAGAGCATTATTCAAACCCAGGTGGACTCTTTGCCCATACAGCATGCTGCTGTTCCTGTACACTGCAGGACAGGAGGGCTCCTTGGTTACAAGTTCCTCCTTCCTGCCATCTTCCTCCTGTAAAAAAAAAGCAACCCACACAACATGTGAAGACCAGAACCCCGCCTTCCCTACCCAGCCAATATTTTTGTAGATCAGCTCTATTCCCACAGAAAACCTTCCCTCACACCCCTAGCATTGTGTAGTAGTAAGGGGACATTTGCAGCATATATTTTTTTCCAAATACATTCTCCCCCAGAAGTTCAAAATCAATACTTGTCATCATCTTATCAATAACTAAGGAGTAAATAGCTGTGTCTTGTAAGTCCTGATTTCTGTAGCTTGCAGAGAGGTCATCAGAGCTGCTTTCTCACTGCAGCAATCTAAGTTATGCTGAACATAGTTAATATGACTGAAATTCCAAGAAAATCTTTGGGTTTTTAGATTTTAAATATTGAGAACCCGATAACACTTGCTAAAAGTCACCTCCATTTAAAGCCTATGTGGCAGCCACCCTTAGATATAGGTGCAGCCTGCACATTTTGGACATCTGTGCCTCAGTACATATTTGCAAGCTGTACTCCGAATGACTCATGGTGACCCACATATATCATTGTGCTGAACTTTGGGTTTTTTTCCCCTTCCTCTGCTACTTTGTAGAGTGAACTAGCAACACTAAAAAGTAGTAAGGGCAAGGATGAATAGATAATGAGCCAGGACAGAAGATCGAAAAACCTAAAACATTTGAAAATCACTTTTAAGAAAACCCTCAACAGTTACAGCACCTCAGTAGCAATAAATAGAAATTAACAGGGTCAAGCTCAAGGACACTGGTGGCTGGTACTTATCACTACATACTGAAATTAATGCTAAAACATTACATTAAAACACGCATGCAAATATTTATCCAGAAAGTGGGATGCAGTACAAAAATATAATGAGCTTTATATCTCACAGCAAACTGTTTAAAATAGTTTTTATGTGGTTAGCTAGATAACCAGGTTCGCATGTGTTGGCGTGCATCTGTGATACAGAGGTTAACCAAAACATTACAGTTAACACCTTTTTTCTTCCCTTTCTATTTCAAAGCTGCTTGATGTCTCACTACCCTACACAGTAACTGGGTATTTTTCAGAGATATCAAAGCTTAACTACAGCAAAAATCCCTGAGAAATCCAATACAAGGAATAGTTTAGTTCTGTTATATTTGCTAAGTCCTTTGGCACTTTCCATGGCCCTGTTCTACATGCATTACTGAAAAACCAAAAGCAATCAAGATGGAATTTTGCCTCTTTGTTTCTTTAGCAGCTATTGTTTGTGGTGTCTATGTTGCAAACCCATGTTTATACTTTTCCCCTTTATTATCTCAGTCTAACATGACCAACACCTTTTGTTTGGCTGATTCTGCAGGACACAGTGAAGTCTAACATTTCTATTTCAATCTGCAAAAATACCCTGCAGTTCCTTCTGAAATTTATACCTGAAAGGAAGAATACTTACCACCAGCCATTTCAAAGGATAATTCGACAAATTTTCTGAGGCCGTTTCCTCAAGGCATGGAATTTCTAAAGTTTGGTTTAACCACACTTCCTTCATATAATGCTGCTCCTCTTTTATCATTGCAACAACAATAAAAAAGACCAAGAAGGAAAATCAGAAACGTGATAGTCATTGTGCTTTAGAAAACAATATTGACTAGTCTGCTGTTCAAGGAACAGGCACTTTTTTGATTAGAAGAGAACTGTAATTTTCAACCATTACCCACAGACACATTTGTTAAGTGAAAGCTCTGCATCTGATTCTAGATGCAGTTTCATGACTCTAATTCATGGCTTTACATGAATTTTTGGGCAATTCGTAAAATCCTGTGCTTAAATGCAGGATCAAGATGTCTCTTTTTGGAGCTGAGAGCAATTTGAAGCTTCAATTTTTCTCTTACATTTTTTTTTTTCCTGTGACAATAAACCTTCACATCAATTTTGTGCGTCTGTATTTCCTTTTCTCTGAAAACCTTTCACAAAGCAAGGTGTTCAGCATGTCAGGCAGGTTGAGATTAATCCTGGTTTTCAGGGTAAGTGCTATTTTTGTCATTCTCCATCCTGCCCATTATCAGGAGCAGAGAACTTGCCAATAAAAAAGCATTTCAATATCTCCTACCCTACCCACTCCCAGTCCAGGGCTCAAGTCCACCTTTGGAAGAGTCAGAGTGATGCACTGAACAGAGCACAGCTGTCGTCCAAGCATCAGGTCCGCATATGTGTGTACATTTAAACAGGAAGAACAGTGGTGATGGCCAGGAGATGCTATGAGTACCTTGTGAGCACTGATCCCTCTGACCATTAGCCCAGCAGAAGATGGTCACACTGTGCAGCCTGCCATGCTGCCATCACTGTGCTGCCCAGACCTGCCTTACCTCTAGGCAGGCACCAGCACACACTACTGGGAAACTCCTGAACTTTGCTCCCCTGACAGCTCTACTTGTATGTTGAGATAAAATAGAGATATATTTTATCAATCTTTTTTTATCTTGAGAGGAGGGAGAATATCTAACAGATTTGGACTGTTGTTTGGCAATGGGGACTTTCTGGTGACTGTAATTTCCTGTATGTCTGACACCCAAGCAGAGAGTGACACTGTCAGCACACAGCCTGTGCCACAGGGACACAGAGAAAGGCAGTGCCCAGGGTGGTGCCCAGGAGACCCAGGAGCAGAAGCAGCTTCTCTCCATTTTCCACCAGAGCCAAGCAGCTGAGGAGCTAAGCACAGTGGGACACAGCATGCACAAGCACTAAAGGGGCTGGACAGTGCAGAAAGGAAAGAAAAGGCAAAGGAAGCAAATCTATAGCTTCCCTGGATGAAAACAGCACAGGGGACTTTGCTGGGACAAGCTACTGTGCAAATGTGCCATGCAGCACGCAAGCATGAAGATGGGTAGTTGCTCCAAGAGTTCAGCCTGCAAACAGCCTCAGCCTGTTCTCACAGTTCCAGCTGCTGTTTCCCATCTTTGATTCCCATCTCCATTAACAGCCTGTTGGCTAAGGTCCTCCTTGTTTGTCAGTTCTATGTAGGCCTGCTGCTCTGAGAGCTTTGCAGCATTTACAAGTTGAATCCATCTGGTTTCACTTCACTTTGATGTAGCTGGGAGCTGTACTTCATTAATGGCTAGTACCCTTCTCCACCCCACTTGTAGGCTGGGTTAAGATTATTTGCCTTTTTTTGAGTTGAAGTGGTTTATTGCAAAAGATCTGGTTACCTTAAAATACAAATCTGCAAGAGGTATGTTGCAATCTGATTTTTTCTTAGTTCTCTCTAAGCAAGCTGTTACTAGTAGCACAGCTTGCTACATCATGTAGTTACTGAAACAAGCCACAATGATGTCTATACGAACAAGAACTGCCCACATTTAACATGTAGACAACAATAACAAAATTGACCATTCCAGTATCAACCAAGAGCACCAGCAAGAGAAAAGGAGCAATGCCTAATTAGCACTATTCCTGTATTAAGGAAGAGACAGAGAAAAAATGCACGAAGAACAGAAGTTTCATGTAGTTACCAGCACTATTTATACCTCACTGCTCTCTGCTCAATCTATCCCCTTTGCCCTGTGAAGCTCAAGAAAATTCCCAAAGGGAAGCCAACTGTAGCATACCCCTGTATGCCAGGTGAAGTGGCAGCTTCATCCTTGACACAGTTATCCAGCATGTATTGTATTTCTATGGGTGGCACAGATATGCTGGCACTAATTTTGCCTTTATAAGTTTATCAGAGCAGAAGGGTGCTGCTGGGTTGCCCCTGATGTTTGCTTCCAGGATAACAGAACCAAAGTGCTTCAAGCCACTGCCATGCAGGTGCCATCAGGGAGCAAGGGCTTGGGCTGAATGTCTCTGTGTATGAGGCTTGCACAGGACCTCCTTCTGCCGCACTATGAATGCGTCCCAGCCTGGGGACCAATGTCCCTCCTGCCACCAGTTTGGCATATTGATGGTGGAAGCACTGCTGTCCTCTGCTACTCCCAACATCACCTGCACCCACCCTGCTCCTAACCTTTGAATCTGTGCTGTATCTACAGCCGTGGGCACAAGCAGAGTGAGCATGTTGGCCTTGCAGATCTTACCTGAAACCATGCCAGGATTTAGTTTAATCCTTCTCGGCTTGTTAACAGAAACCTGGGTCAGGAAGAGGTTTCTAGGGGTCATCAAATCCAATCCCTCATGTGCAGAACAGCAAGCTTGCCCAACATCCCTGCCCAGCTCTGTCTTCACAGCAGTTTGGACTTTTGCCCTCACTGCTGGCATTAAGTAGCTGTTCCCAAATTGCTGCGGTAATGGTTGCCACTCTTGTTTAATTTGTAGTCAAATACACTCACGTCCTATTTAAACCCATTTGTTCCTTTGCCAGGATAATTTAAATATCCTTCCTGGAGTTCACACTCTCCCCTGAGGCTTACTTACCAAGAGCAGTTATGCTGCTTTCCAGCTTCCTTTTAGCTGACAGAAGCAGCCACGTCTCTGTTCCTGTGACTGTCCTAAGCAATTCCCTACTTTGCTCCAGTTTGTTTTTCACAGTGGGACACATCCCTCCATTGAGCTAACACCTAGCACACCCAGCAGATGACACCTCTCAGCCTCAACCAGGCAAGGCTGTTTTCTCTTTCTAGTGCTTAAGGCTGCGTGCTCATAGCAGCAGCACAGCATGGTTTGGAGATCCAGCATCCTCAGTCCTGCCATATCCTGAGCCACTCATCCAGTCGTCTCTGCAGCATGTTTCTCTGAAATGAAAATATGGAAACTGCCCATCTCACCACCTTTTTTGCCTTCCTATTTAAATTTTTATTCCTCCATATAAATCGGGTTTCCTAATAATGAGCTGGATAACAATAGAGAGTGCCTGGTAAATAGGAAACTCTGTAGGCAGCGGCATTCAGTGGCACCAGTGCAAACCCCAAAGAAGTCACCATCAAAGGCTAAGAAATATTAATCTATCCTGATATTCCCTTACTCTCTTACCCCCACCCAATGTTACAAAAAACCCAACATCTCATTCGTAATCACTTACCTTCTGCCTTGACAATAAGTTGGATTTTTGCAGCCTTTCTCCCATAAGGGTAAGTAGCAAAACTGCACTCATACTGTCCACTAAGGGAGACAGTAACGTTTTTCAGATGCAGAGCCCACCAACTGCATTCAGACTTGCCATTTGGATCATGGGAACACAAATCCTCTGTCTCATCCCAGCTGCAGCACTTCCTCATGCTGAAGGACACCGAAAAGTTGTAAGAAGCCTCAGGAAAGGTGAAGTAATGGGTGCCATAAACAGGGTGATAGACAGCTATTCTGCTAAGCTGTGTGTCATCAGTCTTGGACCACTGCGTCTGTACGATGAAGGTGGTGTGTGGTTTTGGGAAACTGCATACCAGGGTGACGTCAGTACCTGGCAAAGCGTGGATCACTTCTGTTTCTGTAACAACATCTTCAGGCTGGCCTTAAAAGCAAATTGGACAATTTTCAATGCAAGTAATGTTTAAACAAAGCCTTTTCCTAAACCATCTTTGACATCATTTGGTGCCTTAGCTGCAGCCAATCATGCAGACCCTGGAACCGTAGCAACAGGCTTTCCAGTGAAGAGGTTTACAGCAGATCTCCACTAGTACAGACTTCAGAGAGAGAACCAGGAAAGTAAACATGCACTTGTCTGGAACAGGGCAGGGAGCTCCTGTCACGCTCAAGGGAGAGAAATGGGAGCTCTGACTCCCTCTGTGAAAACGGAAATCTTTCATGTGATATAAATAAAGTAGAAGCTGGGCCCAGTTATGCCCCAGCAATTTTTGCAAGAACAAATGAGTTGTCCCTGCTGACTAATTCTGCCCTTCACCATTCCTCCTGTCCATTGCCATTGCCTTCACTGCTTTGACAGAGAAACCTGTTCTTTACCTCTATGTTATTAAATAGCTCCTGCATGGCTTAAACAAGTGTCTGTTTCATTGTCAGAGTGAGCTACCCTCATATGTATGGTTTCCTTCTCAATTAATTTCATAAAACATGTTGGCAGTCCTTAGTGTGCCATATAAAGGAGTAAAGAATGGGTGGAAAGAAGGGGCTTTCAACAGAAGCCTATACTACTCAGTTTTGCTGCTGCTGCTGTAGTAAAATTGATTTCTCTTCCTTTCTCCCTGCTATGAACAAGAGGCTCACAGTCCCCAAATCCCTGTATGGAGGGCACTGACAAACTCAAGGAGATGAAGAATTTATGGATGGGGGAGTTGTAGTAATCAGACAACCAACCATAACCACAGAGCTTTTTTTCAAAGGGGCATGTGGGTCCCCAGAAAAAAATGGCCTTGTGCAGATGTTCTTAGGTACAGACTTGCTGCCCCCCATACCCACTGGATTTTATCCTCCCTGTGTATCAAAACACCACTATAAATTTGCTTTGGGAACATGCCCCACAGTCCCACCAGCCGTGCTGCTGGCTCCCTGTGGCAGCAAGTGCACACTGCTCATCCTCCTTACTTGAAAAAAGCGGGTACCAATTTTTCTGCCTGCGGGTGGCCTGGTGTGCCCCATGCTCAGCCAGCTCAGCCAGGAGTGAGACGGGAACCGGCACACCCGCAGCTCCGGTTTGACAGGAAAGAACAACAGAGTCCCACATCCTTGCAGAGCTGGCTGAGATTTGGTACCTAAGCATTGGAGGGTGACATGAACACGTAGAGACTAGGTGCATGGAGAACAAAGCTACTGAATGGCCATGCCCAACATTAATCTCTTTTTTTTATTGCTGTGCATGCTCGGTTCATCTTTTAATTGACTCCTAAGAGATGGGATGACATAAAATGGTAAACAAAAATAAGCTTGAGTGACAAGTGCTGTGAGAAAAATTACTGAAAACTATTTTTGTCAGTCCAAGGAGCTTATTGTAGCAAATACTCATTGATTTCACTGCAAGTTTTGCATCAGGAGAAGTTAAGGAAAAGCTGTTAGCAATCTTGCAATCAGACTAGCCAGCAAGGGACACCTAGCAAGTTAGCTCTCATACATACTAATGCTGTAACAGGTTAAAGGACCATGTGAAGAATGCCTACCAAGAATTACTTGAATAATTTATATGAAGATGAAAAAATTACATAGGTAGAAACAACATTTTAGTTTGTGTTCTTCCTTAGTAGGCTAGCACTTCAGATTATTTTAACTGAAACCCATTAATGCAAAAGTGTTCTTAGCTTTTTGTTAGCATTCCAATATAATTAGTCTCTTTTTATGCCAACTTTATTTTTCCAAATACAGTTGCCCATACTTGTGCTCCATTTGAAATTTAATAGAGTAACTCCCAAACAGTTATGTGTTTGCTTTCCACAAAGGGCACGATGGGGTCCACTTTCATCTTTGAGTGACTTTGGTGAGAATTTCATCCTTAGAGTTAAAACCCAGCAGTTCTATTATCCCCTAGATAGTATTGTTTTCCTGCACGTACATGTCTTGAGGAGTCTAGTTCTTTTTTATTATTTCGGGGTTTTTTTGCATTTGAGAACTTTTATTTTCTATGAATACACGTATTAAATGCTTCCTTTTAAAATCCAGTTTGCCACAGTAGAAAATAGGAAGAGCCTATGCCAGATTTTGACATGCATCTTATCATAGCAGTCAAACACATGAACTTTTTCCTCTCTTAATTGGAAAAACGTGTATCCTACAAAATTCCTCTTCCTAGCTGGTAATAAGTACTGCTGCATTCAGCATGGCCAGTCTGTTGTGAGGGGGGTGTGTGGAGGGAGTTGTGAGCATCAGGCTTTTTCTTGGTTTTCTTCAGATCATTTTGGTTTAAACTCCCTTGGACGGGGATGCAGTCCTCCTTACTCAACTTTTCCAAATGTTCTGCTCCCACTAACAAACTTGTTTCTCTTGTTTCTCAAGCTTTTAACACAGCATGTAGGGCTGGGTGGGGAAGAGGAAGAGAAGGATCTATTTAAGGGGTTGCAGCTGTACAATTTATCCTTGCTTTTAAGTGTTTCAACTCTTCCTCTCTCTGCATACACAGGTATGCTTGTGTGTGTGAGAGATATTATTTGCTCTTTGAAAGTAGTTTTCCTGTTTGCCCATTGGAGAGGAGCACAAACTGCTCTAAATACAAATGAGCTCATCTCATTCTGGTGAAAATATGTTACTTCGAATGAACTAATCTGCCAGTCAGTGCAAGCTATTTAGTCCTTACTAGCTGCACATTATAACTAGGTTTACTAGAAAGCTGTCAGAAAACAGAAAATCATTACTAGCAGCTACAGCTTGCCCTAGTGAGACATGCTAAGCCCAGCCTGCATATGCCACCCTGCCCCTCTGTCATAAGCTGAGTCAAGGGGGCCCGCTGACATGCTTACCTGCAATGCTGGACACTGAGAGCAAACAAAGGAGGGAGAAGAGCCACCTTTTTTCCATCTTTACCCGCTGAAGTTTTAGTAAATACGTAGCTCTCTTGGCCTGCTCCTGGCAGTGTCTCTGAAAAGGAAGTCAAAATGGTCTGCCCTGTGCAGACAGGCAGATGTGCAACATAGTCACGCTCATCATTTTAGTGTCACTTCAAAAATATGCTTCATTAAATGTGAAAGCCTCAGTTTCCTGCCAGAGCGATAGAATTAGAACATCTTGTGAAACCTTTATGTTGAAAACACTACCTATACTCTAAGCCCATGCTGAAGACCTGCATTTTTTTTACTTTCCTTTGTCTTTTCAGACAAACTCAGAGTAAGCAGTTTACTGTTTTGCGCTCTCTCAAACACTTGTTGTATGACTAAGGTTGAATATATGGTACATAGTGTACAAAAAAGCTGACTTTTTTTTTACCTGCTTCATTTCCTCTACTGTGTTAGTCCAAAATAGTTCAAATATACTATTTCCACATTCTCTGCACTCAGGTTTAAAGTTATGCTGGGTTTAAAAACCCCAGCATAACAACAAAACCAATGTACCTAAATTCAGAGTTTTCTAGCTTCACCTTATTTATTCTCTTTTTTTTTTTTTTTTTCTGGAGAAGGAGACCATCAATTATTTTGTGCAGGATGAAAAATTACAGCAGCACACAACAATGTCACTTGGCGTGGTTAACCCCTGTGCCTACTCCATTCAGCTGGTAGTTTAGGTAATGGCAGCATCCTCAGGCATGGACTGGTTCCCGCCAGTCCTGTGACCTGTCTTTATTGCAGGTCATGGGTAAATCATTCCAAACTGTCCTCGAAGCACATCACATTTCCATGAACTAGGCATACACCTGTCAGTGATGCAGCTCACTGCAGGCAAGTGCTATGCAAATTGGACCTGGTGTTGTGGCTTTTCAGAAAGAGATTTGAGTGCTTGCTTATCACACTTGTTTCCCCAAAACCAACATTGCAGGGCAGGACACCTCATTCATATAGCGTGGATGTACATGATCTGCTGGCTCTTCACAGTGTGGGATGGGTGTTTGGAAACGCAGCTGGGCAGGAGGCTGGTTGCCCCCAGTAGTTCCCTCCCTGGAGGCCTGAGGACACCTCGCCCTTTGGACTCCGGGAGAAAGCCAATCACAGCCCATCCATCAGGGCAGAGAAACCGCGCGTCATGGATCATGGAATAATAGAATGGTTTGGATTGCAAAGGACCTTAAAGATCATCTAGTTCCAACACTCTTGCCGTGGGCAGGGACACCCTCTACAAGACCAGGTTGCTCAAATCCCCAACCAACCTCACAGTCCCTCAAACAGGCACCTGTATCCACTGCCAGTGCCCTCCCAGCAGTGACTGGTCCATCCCTGGATGATCTGGGTCTTAACATGTCTTTTCTGAAACAACTTATAAGAGACCTGTGTTGCCTTTGTTGGCCATGTTCTTTAATGATAATCCTCTCTGTTGCTCAGGCAAGGCCTATGGAAAGTGCCAGCTGCCACCTGCAAATTTCTTTCCAACCATTTTCCATTTCCTTCCCCACTGTCTGCTTTCACTGACCATGGAACTCTCCATAACTCCAGCATGCAAGACAGAGTTCAAAGTAAAACAGAAAAACCTCACTGGTCATTTCCTTATTTTATGCACTACCATAGATGCAAACAACATCTATACCACTTCCCTAATTTGTCCATATACAGCCTTTTGTTAGTGTGTTTAAGTAGGCTAAGGTCTTCAGCTGGAACAGCTAATAGTGCTGGCCAGGCTGCGATTAGGCCTCCAGACATATCTTTTGAGGATAAATGCTGCTGCCCAGTTCCTTTTTTGTTTGCATTGCTCCCTTACCTGAGGAAATGTGCTAAAAGCAGTCGTAGTACTGGATGACCGGGTTACTGCTAAGGGAATTGTCTCCAAGGATGAAAACTCTGCTTGTCACTCAGAAGTCTGACAGAGAAAGATCTGCCTCAGAGGATCAAGAAGTCCTGAAGTTGAAGATGAACAGAATATTCAAGCCATTGTAACTGACAGCCACAGAAGGGAGTAAAAATTATTAAAGATGTAAGGTCTGGTTTCCAATTCAGAGCAGAGAACACAAAGAACCCAGAGATTACCTGCAGATACTAGAGTCCAAGAAAATTGGACTTCAGTTTAGAATTTGGGCTTTCATTAGTGAGTGCAGTTACCTTAGATTCTCCTGCTGATCAGTTCATGTAAGGTTTGTACCATGAGAGAATGTATTTTGTGTAACATGTGGAAGAAAAAAAAGTCTCAGATGAGCCTTTTTATTGATCTGAAACATGTATCACAATTCAACAAGACAGCCCAAGTACCATGTGGTATATTCAATAGCCACAGAAATTCCTGAGCAGCTTGTTTGAGTTAGAAGATAGCTATGTCTTGCTCTTAGAATTTGTTTTCCCCCCTAAAATAATACCCTAAAAATACTGCTGCCACGTTGCATTGTGTTTGCTGAACACAGCCACCCAGCGCTGTTGCTCTGTTTAGTGATGAAAGACAAGAAAGAAACCTCCTAGCTCAATGGATTTTTATTCACTTCAGAAGTGTGTTTTGCCCCAATTCCTACCTTAATCCCAGAGTCTGAAATAGTCATTCACCCCTCTGCTGACATTAATGTCAATGAACAGCTAAGCCCTGCCTCTGAACATTACATCAAGAAATACTTCTGAGACACATCACTTAGTCTACTGGCAGGGACCTGTCTCTTCTCTGGAGCCAGACATGAGGTCCCACTCATAGCAGTGCCAATTATGATGAGAGGTTCCTCCCCACCAACCCTTTCCTAAGAAGTTACTCACAGGCAGCTTGGTAGGTGCCACAGTGGGCTGTTACACACTGAAGGGATGAGAAGAGGTGCTGACACATGCCCAGGGACAGCAGACCTCATTGGTAGCTGGAGGGAGGACATATCTGTAACTGGCTTTTCCTTGATGGGGCAGCTGCAGGGATGTTTGTCTCAAGAGGTGGGATGCACAGCTTTTTCCATCATGGTACACTTGCTGCTCCAGAGAGACCCAGAAACCACTGCAAGGCTAGGAGGTTTTAAAGAAGAAGAGGCTACACCCAGACAAGCAACATGTTGTTAGGACGTACGTGAACCACAGTGCTTTGTTTTGGGCTGGGCAACCAGTTGGCCCAGCTGGTCCTCCCCTGTATCCTAGGTGGTGACGGCGCTGGCAGGAACTGATGGGCTATGAGCGTCACCCAGGAAGGGGCCCTGACAGT